AGAACCACTGTCCGGCAGATTATCCGAGCATGCAGCAAAACTAAATCTCGAATTCGTGAAGACACTCTCTGTCGATGAGATGTAAGCAGATGCCAATGGATAAGATGGCCCGCAGTCTCTTGCAGGTCGAGCAAGCCGACTGACAAGAGGGTCGAGATGAATCGGAGAAACGCCTGGTCGATAACTTTCTGGGGGTTCGGGCGCGATAAGTCCGCCTCAATGATTGGCTCAGGGGACATCCGGCAGACACACTTGAAACACCACTATTGTTTGAGGTTCGCCGGCTCACGAACTGTCTTCCGACTTTCATGTTCCAGATGATTCATTGCCTCACAGCGGGGTTTCGTGGTTCTAAATCACTCTTTTGTTACAGACGTATAGTTGATACGTTGGCTCTACTGCTAGCTCTCCATGCGTGCACCTATCTACCCACATGACCTAACCAACACAGCTGAAAAGGACTATTTATACGTGACCCAAAATTTAATTCACAGCAGGAAAGGATATAGAAAAAGCATAGAAAATAAAACAGAGCGACTCAAGAAGAAGGAAAAAACATATCGACAGTCCAGTAGTGTACATAAGCCATTAGAGAGTCTGGCAAAACCCGCCTCATCCGGGGTTGACAATACTAAAACCCTCAAAAAGTAGCAAATCCCGACTTCAGGCTGCTGCCGCAACCTTCTCCGGGGAGTCATCATCCAAGCTCGTCTCTGGCTCCTCAGCAGCTTGGACTTCCGGGGCTCCGAGGAACGCAGCCATCCTCTGGTCCGAAAGCTGGGCCTGCAACTTGGCCCATTCCTTCCAACGCTCATACTCCTTGTTCTCGAGGTCCATACCGATCTCTAGACGTGTCGGTCCGAATACAGCACCAGTAGCTTCGGCTTCCTCAGCAGCAACACGTCGTTCAATGTCTTCCTGTAGACGGAGGCGGTAGAATTCGCGGCGTGCAATATCGTAAGCGGCGCTCTTGGTCATATCGGGGACATTATTGAGGAGCCAAAGCTGTCGCTGAACAACGCTATTTCACCGGAAAAGAGGAGATTTAGCATCAAATACTTGAATCATCGGCGAGATCTTCCCGCCCACAGATTAAGGACATCCTAAACGTACCTCTCACCGTCCAGGTGCTTTCCTCGCTGCTGGAGCCGGCTCCAGTTATATCTCTCAAAGTCCTTGCCGGACTTTTCAACAAGCACTCGGGGTCGGGCAAGCTCCCAGGGATGGTCGCGGAAAAATTCCTTGCGCAGTTGATCCTCCTCGTACTTGATTTCGACAGGCTGGAACATGCGGCTTGCCTTCTTCGGCTTGATGCGTTTCTCCTGGACTTCGAAGACGGCCTGCGGCCTCGATGCGCCAGGGACGGTCTTCAGGCGCTGGCGAACCAATTGGTGTTGTTGAGGTCGGTTACGCACCAGAACCTCAGTGGGGGGGACATCGTGCATTATATCAAGCCATTTGGGCGTTTGGGGAAGTTTGCCGGCGGCTTTCTGTGCCACAGCGGTTTGGCGAACCCGGAGGGCCGTGAGGTTGTATTTGCCCATCGTGATGTCGGACGCGGCAGCCAAAAGGCCGTGCAGAATCAGCGGGGAGGGAAGGACAAATCCGGAGAGCAACAAACCCGACGGAGGGATGAAGCAAATGACCGGCGGGACGATCAATGGACCAAGCTTGAAGATATGGACGACGACTGGCCTGGACCCAGGTGTTCGGGAGACAAGATCATGGGCAGGGAAGGTCCGGGAGTTTGGTGTTCCAGATACCTGCGCAGGTGCAAAAAAGAGGATTGGCAATGCGCGCCTCCGATTGGCCCGTCGCCGGCTCCGCCCGGTGCAAAGCCAGAGCGAACGCCAAAGCCCATAATAATAATTTGACCCAGAGCTCAACCTCGCTGTCTATCTACTGCTTCTTACGCCCTCCTACTTTTCCCCTCCCTCTTGCCCTTTGGGACGTCCTTCGTCCTTGTCCCCATTTTATTTTTTGACTACTTCCTGTCACGCTTGAAGAGCTCTCGGGCCATTTCTCTTCAAGCTGCTCGAGATTTCCTCGGGACATGCAGGGCTGATCCAATGCCACGATGTCTGCCATCTCATGCCTCCTCCCAATAGGTACCAGAACTCGACCGACCTGCGACTTCTCCCCTCGCAGCGGTTGGATACGAGTCTCCCCTCCCGTCACACTTCGATGTCAAACTCCGAACCGTTCTCCTACAATGCCTCCTTCAGACGACTCAGTTCCAGACGTGCCCGCCCTACCGCGGCGTCGTTAGCAGACCTTTTTGTCAGCTCCCTGGTCATGGCAGGCTACTGCCATGAGCACACCCCTCGCGCTAGGGGGATCTCTACGATCTCCATGAAGAATCCAGGGAACAATGTCGCTCGATGGCAGGATCGGGGGTTGACACATCGCAGGCAATTGTCGTCGAAACATCGCCTGGACTGTCTAGGCACATCGACAGGGAGTCTGCATCGTTCAAGTGCACAACGGATGATAAACTCCGGTGTTGCGTTGAGAATTGAGGATGAGGATGGTGAAGGGAACTGTTATGCGAACAGCCCCTCAGCGAGATCTTCATTCGAAGATCGCTACCGAGGCGGGGGTACAGAATCAACATTACAGTCACATGGAGGATTGCGAGAGATGGATCTGGGGAAGTTGAACAGCGAGCTACCAACAGCGGACACAGCATCAACTAGCGAAGATAATTCAACTGCGAGCGACAACGCCCCTGACGATGACAAAATTGGCCGGTTACCGGGTTCGTCGAGCAAGTCGGAGAAATATCGCCATCATAAAAGAACAAGTCCAAGCAGGAAAGCATACACATCGACCTCACAATTATATCGAGCTGCCTTTGGTAGTTCACTCAACTGGAAACAGGCAGTTGATCTTGTTGCGAACGAGACACAGAAGGGACCGCCCTCAAACAAGGTATTTCCGACGGTAGACAAATCGCGGGATGCTTTGGAATATAAAACGGTTGAGGTATTTTTGGACGCTATGTGGAATGAGAGGATTTCAAACCATTACGTGTTTCGACTCTACCGAGATCTTCCCTCCCCCGGGGTTGCTTACCTGTCCAAACGCTCCAGAGGAGCACTCCTACGTCGGTTCGCCGATCCTCCAGATCGTCGTTGGGTGGATGCTCGTCGCTACCTTGCGTTGATAGAAGACATGGTCGCTGCGAAGCTGCCCATATCCCGCTCGCTCTGGAGTTCCGCTATACACCTTGCAGGACGAGCGTCTGGCAAAGTACGCAAGCAAGATGTGGTGAGGGCCATTGGACTATGGAAACAGATGGAATATCTGGCGCGTGTTAAGTCTGATGATGTCGTGTTCACCATTCTTTTCGATATTGCCATCAAAGCGAATCAGTTCACCGTCGCGGAACGACTATTGGAGGAAATGAAGAAGCGTAATATTGAATTCCGGCGCTTCGGAAAGGTCTCCAAGCTCTACTATTGTGGTATGCAAGAGGATGTTGCTGGCATTCAAGAGACATTCAATGAATTTGTTTCGAGTGGTGAGATTGTTGACACGGTTGTAATGAATTGCCTAATGGCGTCATTCATTCGTGCCGGAGATGTGGACTCAGCGAAGCAGATATATGCGGAGATGCTTGAGGCCCAAGCAAAGTCCCAAGAGACAGGGGAACTAAGCATCGAGTCGAAGCATTCGAAAACACCGCATCTCACATCGGAGATGAACCTCTATCGGAGCAGAGTGAAGAAGCTGGGTCGAGTCCTGCAAGAATCCACCTCACTGAAGGAGATCATGCCTGAACACCATCGTGCGCTTCAGCAATCGCTTCACGCAATCCCTGACACTCGAACATTCCACATATTTCTTTCATTGCACGCTTACAAAACCGCTGACATCCATGGTTTCATGTCTGTCCTTGCAGACATGGAGAAAGTGTTCGTGGTTCCGCCGCGTGGTATGATATACCTCCTGCTTTTTGACGGATTCGCTCGCAACGGGCGAAACAAGAAGGGCTGGACGGCCGAACGGCTACGTGTAGCTTGGAAAACCTATCTGCGTGCTCTCTACGAGTCGAGGACGAGACTCATTGAAATGTACCGCAGCCAAAGTGGAAAGCATATCACAGAGATCCCGGTATTGAAGGCCCCCGCCGCCATGGAGATAGGCTGGCCAACGATTTCGCGAAAGCCAAGCGGACTGTACACTCCATTGCCTTTTGCTGGCACCGCTGCCAAGGAGTGTCGCGAGGCCCAGAACGAGGAACAGAAGGTGATGGGCCAGTTCGACGAGCGCAAAGGTGTCACCCATGCCAATGAAAGCATGGCTGCTCTCGAAGAAGATATTGATGTTGACGAATTGTTTCGACAGCAAGCTCAGGACTTGCAAAATGAGCTGCAAAATGAGCCGCAAGATTCGGAAGAAATTGAACGCCGGATAGAGAATGGCGTCTTTCTTGGCCGTCGAATGATCATCATCATTCTCCGCGCGTTCGGCGCATGCTGCGGGCCAGAGGAGCTTATGAAGGTTTGGCTGCAGATTATACGGATCTGGCAGCCGGAGAAGCGCAAGGCGCTGGACGTCCTGGCTGCCAAGGAAGAGCTAGAGAGGCAGATGAACAGACTCCAAAGGCAATATTAGCCAATTATGGAGGGTTAGATGTGGGATGGTGATACATGTACATTATAGACCTGTTATAGTAGTATATACCCTCAGGTTGAAGCCTGATAGCGGTGTTTTCAACGGCAACAGCTAAAGGCTGTCGCTTGTTATCCTGTACAGCGAACAAGCTTGTGTGTTATTAGTTTTTTTAAATGATATCATCGATAATGGATTTAAGAGTTGGGTCTAGAAATTCATTTCAAACTTGCCGATCTAAGGGTCACTAAATCAGAATCCCATCTGCCTTCCTGATTAGGATCTCTATCGATATCACGTGGCATCGCGTATCGTGCCTTCCCCGCGTCGCGTCTTCCAGCCGATGCCTCAATTCTCGATTTTGGGGAAATTTCCCAGCCTGTGCAGACATCTGTCGTGCTTCTAACGATGCTGCAGAAATGGGAAGTGGGAATCTCAAACATCGCAATGTGGATATAGACTTCTACCTCCGCCGAGTTTTCCGGAAAAAGTCCTTTCGGTATGTTCAAGCTGCCATCAGTTCCTATTAGAGTACTCGACTTAAAAGAAACTATTGTATAGACCTCTTCAGCGTGAGGTGATCACGGCGGCCATCAACGGCCATGATGTGTTCCTGCAGGCAAATACTTCATTCGGGAAAAGCCTGTGCTTTCAACTACCTGCAGTCATAAGCCATGGCGGTTGGTCCACCTGCGTCTACTACTCGAAGATCTTCATCTTTCAGATTGTGTCTGACGATTTCTTTAGTGACCGTTGTGATTAGCCCTTTGCTTGCTTTGATGGTCAGCCTGCACAATATCCACTCTGGAGCGGTACTAATATGTCGTGCAGACCGATCAAGTAAAAGCGCTTCAAGCTTTAGGGGTTGCGGTAGCAACAATCAACTCGACGACTCCGATTGCTGAGAGACGTGTGATCTTGGATGACCTACTATCAGGTCATCCGAAGACCCGGCTTCTCTACGTGACACCAGAACTCTGTCAGACAGAAGGCTTTCGACGCAATCTACAGACTATCCACCGCCAGGGAGAACTGATTCGTGTTGCCATCGACGAAGCTCATTGCATTAGTGAATGGGGCCATGACTTCCGGCCGGCGTACAAAGAATTGAGCTGGTTCAAGCAAAGTTTGACGAATCCACCGATCCCAATCAGTGCGCTTACAGCAACTGCAACGCCTCGTGTTCGGGAAGATATCATCAAACTTCTTGGCTTGGACCCTTCCAAGCTGAAGATCTTTAACACTCCTTCTGCACGTCCAAACATTCATTACGAGATAAGGTACCTCGACGATTTTGCAAGCGACCCCACAGAGCCAGAAAACTTCCAGATCCACAACCTCGTCTCATGGCTCCAGTCTGTCCAGGCCCGCAGAGAGGCCGTCAGTGGCTCTGCGCCCGCCACGCTTGCCCCGATAAGTGGGATTATTTATGTGCCTCTCAGAACCGTATCCGATAAACTAGCCCCCGCTTTATCAGCAAGCTGGCCCGGCCGTATTCACGCTGTGGCTTACCACGCTGGTTTATCCTCTGAAGACCGTACGCGTATCCAGTCCGAATGGACATCATCTAAGTCATTCCCTAAGCATGCAGATATTGAGAACAAATCACCTGAACAACCGGCATTCTACATTATCGTCGCTACTACTGCATTCGGTATGGGCATTGATAGCCCACACGTCCGCTTCGTTGTTCACTGGAGTCCGCCGCGGAGCTTCGAAGGCTTCGTTCAAGAATCCGGTCGTGCAGGTCGCGACGGTCATGCCGCCGCATCCATTGTCTACTACAACACACAAGAGCGAGATAGGATTCTTGATCGTCTGCAACGAGACATTGAGAACGCTCGCAATCGCACTGGCGCGCACATGAGCAACCAGAACAGCAAGGCACAAACCACCATTCAGAATCAGCTTGCTCGACTAGCTAGCTTTCAGAAGGTGATCAGCTACTGTGAGAATACCACACGATGCAGGCATGACCTGATCAAGGATTTCTTTGGGGATTTTGAGCTTGAGAAGATGGGTTCCCAAGTCCCTACATCGGGGATGAGAACTAATGGTTCCACTGATTCACCATGTGACTTTGCTTGTGACTTCTGCAAAGAAGGTTCTCACGCTCTTGCCCAGCGAAAGGCGAGAATGGCGCCCGAAAGCCACACAGACGACTTTGCCGACATGGACGTCCCGTGGTATATGCAAAAGATGTTCCCGGGGGTATTTTCCTGAGGTTGATCCTTAGAAGTTTGAGTATCTCTTATAGGTTTCATATATATTGCGACAAGAATTTTCAACGATACTGGGGTATAGATACTGGCCATCTTGCTGGTCGACCACTGACACGACTATTCTTGTCAAGCCAGCGTACGCGAAAGATACCAGTATTACGGTTCAATACCGTGTGGAATGATTTTTTATACCACCCCAAAGAAGAGGCGTGCACACATCCTACCAGAGCCAACGCAATGGGCAAACCAGATAATTCGCTAAGCAAAACAGCAAATTTTCTTTTAGCTTCAGAAATGAGCGCAGATTTCCGGCTTTGCTCTACAGACTTTAGCAACACAGACCAAACCTCGGTCGAATAAGAACGAAAGAACGGACTAAAGGTACAGACAGCCTAGAGGCAGCTCGGTCGTCGATGGGGCTCACTGGCAGGCAGGTATCCATTGCGCCTGCATAGAATCACCGTTTCATACTCTTGAATAAGCATAGCCTTCTTTGATTCTCTGCTTTGGGCTACTGCTATGGCAGCTTCCCAAGCATCACCTCACAGTCCTGGAGGGGGAGGGACCTAAATCGAACCAAGCAGTCAATACTTAGGCTTGGCCACACAACATTAAGTCGGCGGATTGTACTTACAGCACTATAGCTACCGCCGGGCGGAGGAGGTGGCGGAGAGCCCGATCCCGGAGGGGGAGGAGGGGGAGCCTCGCTGGCGGGAGGCGGCGGCGGCGGAGCGGGGCTCTGGGACTGTTGCTGTTGCTGTTGCTGTTGCTGCTGCTGCTGAGCAGCCGCCTGGTAGTACTGGTAGTAGGCAAGGTAATTCTGGTAACCGCCGTAGGCAGCATATGGGTCGGTTCCGTAGTATTGAGCATACTGGGCACTGTAGTCGGGAGTTCCGGTTCCCGAACCGCCAGCAGCACCTGCGGCTTGGGTCGACGGGCTGGCAGAGGTAGATGGCGAGTTCTGGTGATGGTTGCTACCATATCCGCCGCCGCCGCCACCACCACCACCACCGCCGTAACCTCCGCCGTAGTGATAGCGGTCTCCGCGCTGGCCGCCATAACCGCCGTAGCTGTGCTGGGGCGGGTTCTCCTTGAAACGCTGGTACTGTTCGCGGACGTTGGCTAGTAGATCCTCACACAGGGCCTTTGCACTCTGGACATCATTCGGGTCGGGACCACTGCAGAATGAAAGTAATAAGTATCGGTGCAAGCTGTTTCCGGTGTTGCAGGGACAGGAAGGGGTATAGGTGCGTTACGTACGCTACGTGCAGGAACATCGGCTCATCGCTTTCCCTACCAGTACTGGGCTCCATGAAACCAGATCCACGGCCTTTGATTTGAACCTTGCAGCGAGTCTTCTGCTGGATGTGCTTCACGTAGGCACCGCCCTGTCCGACGACTTGAGCGCGAAGGTTGAAGCCAGGGATCGGTTCGAGATCGACAGGGATGCGCTCCTCGGGCCATTTACGCTGTATACCATTAGCTGTCTATAGACTTCTCTCTGGGGTGTTGAATCTTGAAAGGAAGGGACGGAGAGAGTAGCTGGTGCTGGTATGGTGTGAAGGACGTACACGACCGTACTCATCGCGCTCTACTTGCTCGGGTTCGCGACGACGGAACCGGCGCTCATCAACCAGGTTGGGAAGTTCCTTTTTCATGAGATCGTCGATCAAGGCAACGGCCTTTTCGAGGCCTTCCTTGTTTGTGCTCGTTACGTGAAGATAGAGCGGGGGGTTCTGGGTGGAGGTTGCGTGTTAGTAATTTAGATAGTCTGAATCAACGGGGGAGTTGGTAACGTACCGCGGCGGTGGCCATGCTCTTATCGGGATAATAGTTTCCTCTCGTAGTGACATCTTAAAAAGAGAACAAAAATGATGAGCTTCCTTCATGTAGTCAAAAGTTTGATAATAATATGAATGTGGAATGAAAGGCGTACCGGCGCCAGTTTCTTCTTTGATCTAAATGTCACGCAGCGGAGGTCAGCAGATGCAAATGAGGGCAAGTGTTAGGATGCTATTGCAAGATGTTGACTTGGGTGAGCTTTAGCCATAACCGCAAAACGAATCATTGGAGGAAAGAAAAAGGACAGGGTAGAAGTAACAAGGCCAAAAACGAGCAAGCAAAACCAAGCAAAAAGGCGCATGGCGAACGACGGAAGCCAGCAGCTAGCTAGCTTGCGACAGGTGTTGGGCTCTGGGCCTGGGCAGGATCAGCGGATGTATATAGGAGTAATTACCATCTTCTGGGTAGAGCCTTTGGTCAGCGTGTAACGGTTGCGCAAGTCATTAATCTCAATATCCTTGATATAGTCTCCATCAGCAACGTAGATCTCTGCGTTCAACTTTCCAGATGCGTCGCCGCTGGCAGGTGAGCCGGATGTTGGTACGGGGCTTGCGGTCTAGGTAGTGGAAACCAGAGTCAGCATATTGTGTTATCCTTTGCGCTGCGACCAGCATGGGCGTTGCTTACCGAGCGGATTGGAGGGACGTCGACATGTTGAATGCCCTTCTTCGCTTGCAACTGGGCGTTGATCTTTGCCGCAGCGGCAGCTGTGTATGACTCCAACGTTAATTCTGCTGCTACACACGTTTCCTCTTGCCATTATCATCAAGGGACGAACGTACCAGCGGCGGCAGCGGGATCGGTCTTCTTCGCAGGGTCTGCGCTAGGGCTCCGAGGTTCACGACTGAGAGGGCTGCGAGCTCGAGTCGATTCGGACTGTCGCGACGAGGGAGACCGAGAGCGGCGGTCGAAGCGCGACGGGCGTCGCACTTCCGGCTCGGTCTGATCAAAACGAGAGCGTTTCGAGCGGCGATCGTCCATAGTATCGGCAATGTAGGAAGTGAGAGGTTAAGAGAAGGGAAAGGGATAAGTGACGTCTAAGGTGAAAATGAAGGGCGTGAGGCAAGGCAGCAAGGTAGGCTCCGAAAAGGCCAAGATAAACTTGCCAAAGACTTTCGCAGGCGGTGGAGTTTGGAACGATCCGCCCCGGTTTGGCCGCTAAAGAGGACTCGACTCGAGATAGTTTAGTGGCCCAGCGAAAAAGTAGCAGAAACTAAGCAAGAAATGCCCAGCCACGGGGGATGCCGAGCTGCCACGGAGCCAATAATAGGCCTAATGTTTTAAGTGTGTGTAGTAAGTAGATAGTGTGCCCGTACTGACAGTACAGGGTCCTTTGGATCCAATATTTCCTTTGGAGAGGTAGTAGGCAGGTAGATGAACACAACAAATCAATCGAACATTGCGTAAGATGCACTAAATGTATCTATAAGTTGATCAGCTACCAAGTAGTGCCCTCTAGAAACAATAGAATCGATGAAGAAACGAAGATACAAGCCCCGATCATGTGAGTTCAACAAAACCCAACTAACCCCAAAACAGCCAAGCGTGCAAACACTATCTACCGGTAGTTCAGTATGTATGGTAAGTAATAAAAGTCGTCACGGGACAAACGAAATCCTTACCGCCGAGACTGAGTCAGCGCCCCGAGGTCGGAAGGCCGCCGCGTATAAAATGCAATGCGAAGTTCCAACACCTGCGGACTTTATTCTCCGCGACCCCAGAAAAGCCCTGCGAGGATCTCCGGACTTTGTTGCCTGCCACTTTTTCCCACAAAAGTGCAGGCCTTAATCCGTCGCCGGCGATCATGGCTTTCCGGCGTCCTTTGATGCTGTCGTCGACAGCATCAACGCCTTTCCTGTCCGTTGCGAGCCGTACCTCACGCCTGGGGGCAGCCTCCCGATTCAGCACCACCACTCGGGTCTCTTCCTCCTCCAGCTCGACCTCAGCCCTCGCCTACAAGGCTCTTCATCGCCGGTCTCCCCTCCCTCTCCCCGTCAACGATGCCTCGCCTCAATGGGACGCCCCCACGGCCGTTTCGTCCATTCTCTACGAAACCCCTTCCGTCCCCACCAACCCTCCCAAGCGCCATATCCTGAACTGTCTGGTGCAGAACGAGCCCGGTGTCCTGTCCCGCGTGTCCGGTATTCTGGCCGCTCGCGGCTTCAACATTGACTCCCTCGTCGTCTGTAACACCGAAGTCGAGGATCTGTCTCGTATGACCATCGTCTTGCAGGGTCAGGACGGCGTCGTCGAGCAGGCTCGTCGTCAACTCGATGATCTCGTCCCCGTCTGGGCTGTCCTCGATTACACCGAGTCCGCTCTGGTGCAGCGCGAGCTCCTCCTCGCCAAGGTCAGCATCTTGGGTCCCGAGTTCTTCGAGGAATTGCTGCAGCACCACCGCGAAATCACCACCCCCGGTGAGCAGACGGACGGTCAGAAGGATAAGGCTGCGCAGGTTGCCAAGACCGAGTTCCACCCCCGTAATCTGCCCCATTCTCAGGCTTTGAGACACAAGCATGAGCATTTGGATGCGATTACTCGTCTCACTCATCAGTTCGGTGGAAAGGTGCTGGATATCAGTACTAACAACTGCATTGTTGAGGTGTAAGTTACCCTCGCCCCATGAGTCATACATACAATTTCCCTCCATCTCTTGATTCTGATGATATGATATAGCTCCGCCAAACCCTCCCGTATCGACTCCTTCATGAAGCTCATCGGCCCCTTCGGTGTCCTCGAATCCACCCGTACCGGTCTGATGGCTCTGCCCCGGTCTCCTCTCTTCGAGCCTAGCGAGGAGATCGAGAAGGACGCCGCTGACGTTGTTGACGCCAGCACCCTTCCCCCCGGTTAAATGTAATCGTCTCTGCGCTTTTACCTATCTATCTATTCTTATTATTATCTATATCCCGCAATGTAAAAAGCTCAACCACAATGTACTTCATCCGTTTCCTTTTGCAGAACTTAAGTTCCACCTAGTGATGTGTTGTAAATTCTCGCATTCAATGATTGACTCAATTTTCCGTTCAAAGCCAATAGTTAATACTCAATTCTGGGTTGAAAATGAGTCATCCGTATCCTAGCGAACAGTCCAGTAAACCAAGTAAGACAAAGCCTAATAACCCCAACGTCAAAACGCCTGTTCTATTATTCCTAACGCCGGTTCAGATTGGATGAGAACATCAATTAAAAGCCGCTGATGAAAACAATAACCCAAAAGCGCAAAAGAAAAGAGAAAAACTCCTAAAGTTTGACTCGCGCCTTAATCCCCTTTCCATGATAAAACACTATATCCCGATAGTGTTGAATCTGAACGCCAACCTTCGCCACGGCATCTAATCCAAGAGTGCCACCCAGCGCTTTCTTCAGCGCATCATAGCCAATACCGCCGAGGTTCAAGTCCACAGGCAATCGGGGTGTGACTGAGATACCCGGCGGCACGGGGAACGGCACCCGGTAGTCGATGGTGCCGATTTCCTCGTCGCCTTCGTAGAATGCCTGCGCATATACCGAAGTGAT